TACCTTCCAACTACAGCTAGCAAAATGTGAATTATCTCAATTTACTTTTCCTATCTAAAAAATTGTTTCCGCTGTAGGTTTGGACAACCGCTGTCTGCTGCTGCTGTCCTGTGTTAGACCACATGTGTCAGACCTTTCTTCTGACACTGAGCCCTTCACCACCACGGTGCTGCCAATGAACYGGCCAGGTGCGCCCAGGCGCTGCGGGAGGGACAGTGGCAAAATTATGGTGCTGCCCTCTGGTTAGTGAGAAACACCTGCTCCATCCCRGCTCCCACAGCCCCAATAAAGCTCTGGGAGCCACTGCGGAGGTGCCACTTGGCCCTACCTGCACAGATAGGCAACTGCCTTAAGTAATAATGAACGTGGCTCAGAACAACATTAGCCTTCTATGCTCTGCTACGGTCTGCAGTGAGCTCAGAGCTGGTGCTGACACACAGCAGATACTGGCAACATGAGAGTAAACAAATCAGCAAACCACTGGGACTTGGAACAGGGCACACAGTGCGGCAGAATAGGGTTTTATTTTTTTTCAGGACCTCAACCCTGTGCAGAGCCTTCCACTCTCTCATTTCAGTTTTATTATTAATTTCCTTCCATCTGTACGTTTGGATGCTGTGAACCATAAGGTGACCATGGAGACATGAAGAAGATGCCACTTAACACGGGCTCTCCAGAAAAGGGACATGAGAGCAGCTTGGCTCCTGAGGGCAGCCTAACCAGTGTCTTGGATGGCAAATATTCAACATCCAGGAGTTCATGGGCCATTCCAAGAGCCTCACTGCTCCCGAGAGGAACAGGAGCACCTATGTTAGCCAGTGGAAATAAAGTCTTTAAAATAACAGTATAAACCATCACAAATAGAGAACTGCCACATTTCACAAACATTTACAACAGTGCAATGATGATTATAAAGGRCATCCCCTTCAACTTCTGCTCATCTACTCTAGCCAGTAGATTAAGACATTAAGAGTTTCCTTTAAAAATATAGTTTTAAGAAATAATGCAGTCTGGGCTAAACATTTTCAAATACTATAAAAATCTACGATTGCTAACTAAAATTAAAGTTACATAAAGATGTCTCKGTTCTTGAGAACGGATATAAATACAGTGCATCACAATTTTGCAACTTCAACATGCTTCATTTTCCAATTCAGATTACTGGAAAATATGATTTTCTAACACTTCAGATGGCATCTAAGCACACATAGATAAGCATAAATAGCTTTATCTCAGTTCTGAACAAATTTTAAAGTAAGATCTCACCATTCACACATGAAAGAAGCTTTGTAAAGTGCAGTATTTTCCCTTGATATCCAAAAGATTAAAGTTTACTTCATAGGTCAGGCATCTATATAACATCTACTCATATCTGCTGCTTGCAGTTCTTAGTGCGRTGAGCAGAGGACATTTCAACACATGTTGATACAAATATACAAATATACATAGCAAAATCACAAACTTGAATAAGAGATAAGGAAAAACACTACTTTGCTTCCTGAAAAGTAGAGTAAAAGGTATCAGCTGGGAGACCACTTGATTACTCYTCAGAATTTAGACATCATACTTCCCAATGTCTTTTGCTCCTAGATCTTTTCCTTAAGCAAACTTTTTTTGTCCCCTAGGAACAAAAGTTTATCCTAGATAATGYTTAGATTCCTATCCATCATTTCACAGTGTCAATAATTCACTGAGCTGTTAGAACTAGACCAAAAAAAAAGATCTGACCTTGTATTACTTTAAGAGTTAGTCATGATTTTGTCTAGTTAATATTAGATGGGCAAGTGTCAGAGAATACCTTCATACTTCAAATAGCTTGCTTTAGTTATACTTAAATAAATAAATTAAGTATCTTAACAGGTAGCTTGAAGTACCTTGTACCTTAAGTTGCAATCTTCTTTTTTCTCGTTCACTGGCAGCAAAGAATACAGTTATAAAACAATAATTTGTCATCACACAGCTATTTACCAGCAACAGTATTGTCAGATATCACAATCCAAACAGGCACAGGGCTTGGTGGGGACAGGAAGGGAGCAAGGGAGTGCAATCAAACGGATATATTTAATGGTCTGAACTAGAGCTACTAATAATTTAGCTCTCAGAATTACATTATCTGTCTGAAGGGGACCTCACAAGGTTGTCTTACTTCACCCCTTCCTCTAAAGGTAGGATCAAATACATGGAAATGATTTCTGAACAGTGTTTTTCCAACACATTCTTCAAAGTCCCTAATAATTTAACTGTTTCACCAATCTACTTCAGTGATAAACTGCCTTATCAGTAAGGCACAGCCTTAGTGTTGGGAAGCTCCCCTTATTACAAATCTAAATACTTCTTCATTGAAATACAAGTCCACTAGCTCACCTCCAAAAGAAAACATTTTTRCTTTTGTTTTACTCCTATATACTCTGCAAGCACTTAGGGAGAGCACGGGCACCCTCTCTGCTGCTTGTGGCACCGTGATCTTGCTGTTGCACACAGGTCATTCCCGCCACCTGCCCAGCAGGTCACACCACACGGAGCTGTTCTACCACACCACACTTCTTCCAATGAATGCTTTTCAAACACCAAAGAGATGTTCAAAATGCAAGTTTTATCATAAAGCCAATTAACGTAGAATTGAAGTCCCTATACCAGCCTAAGTACACTTTCTTAAGTCTTCTATAATTGCACAGTGCTCAGCTACTTATTTCTATCCACTGGGGAGCTTTGAAAAAAACACTCTCTTTTCAAAGGCAGCAAGTAAAAAAGTAGTAAGTAGATGTCAAAATTAAGTCATAATTTTTTGCAACACTTTTATTATGCTAAATAAAATTMAATTCCAGATATAGAATTTTTAACCTCATCCCCTAAACGTGACCAGAAGTACTGGTGCCTTCCCAAGCTCCGAGCACTTGTTGAAGCAACTGCAGGAGAAAACTGGGAAAACTTCAGTGAGTACAAATGCTAGTGCCAGAGAGGATAAGGGAATGACTGAGAGTGGTGCTAATTTCAGGCTGGAGCTACCGAGGCGGGCTCAAGGCCAGGCCCAGGGCTGGTTTCGGKGCTGTGCCAGGCCCAAGAACATGGCGGAGAGGAGGAGCTCGGGGGGGCGGTGACGTGCGTTCACCATGGCAACGGGCCGGGCGCACGAGGAGGCCTCGTGGCTGCCCCGCCCTCAACTACCGCCCGGCCCAGAGCCCCGGGTCCCACCTCATCCCGGCACTGCGCTCGCTACCAAGGAGCAAACGCACACGCCACTTCATTTGTTTCACACAAGCGTCGAATTGCCAAGTTTCAGGAGTATCCAGTATTTTTTGTTTTATTAAAAAAGAAAAARAAAAAAAAGATCAGCTGCTGAGAAAAATCCCAGCAGGCATAAACAACTTTGAATATGTGCACTGGGAAGCAACATACCACGCTYGCTTTCACACAACAGATATAAATCGACTGAACTACAGATGAAACTGCACAAGATCTAATTCCAATAAGACACAAGAAAATTAAACCAGCAATTCAGTGGAATTTCGTCTGATAATGGTCCCAACTAGAGAACAGGAAAAAAAAAGGAAGAACTTAAGGTTTTTTAAAAACTCTCTACAAAGACTTTTCTTTTAAATTTAAAGCAGGCAAATGCCTTTCCTTTTGTGAAGAGCTGTTATGAACTCCTGCTGGGAAAGGGAGAGTAAGCATTGAGGCTACRGTGCTGCAGAAATGCATTATTCCCGTGGGTAGGGAGGACACAGGCTATCTGMTGAGCCATGGGTGAGCTAATAACAGTGGCTGTCAAGACTGCCCCATTAAATTACAGCAAAAGACACCTAGGAAGAGAYAGTGAAAAATCAATTAACCGCAGAAATGGCAAGAGAAATAAAATAAAGCAGTCAAACACTTCACCGTGCAGATATATGAAAGTTTCCTGCACACTTTCAAAGCAGAAACATCATGTTAAACAAATAGATTTACCATGCTCTCTTCACTCTTTTAAGTACCAAGTACCTGCAATTCTTACTAAAATAAAAAGGGCTTGAAGTTAATGGTCTCTTTGCAGGGCAAGTCCCTTTACCAATAACCAAGGAAAAAAAAAAGAAAAAAAGGATAATTTCTAAAACATGTGAATTATACCCTAGTTTCAAATCTAACTTTTGGCACATGGATTGATTGTGTTCCAAAATCCTCTCCACTCCTGTATCCCCATGGCTGTAGAAGTAAAAACACATCCTACACCAGACTGCATGGAGACACCCCCAGCAAAGTTGGAAGTCAGCAGAAGGTATAGGCAGTTCAAAGAAATATATTAACAAAGACTTTACTTTTTCAGTACCATCCTAATGGATGGATCAGTTCAAACTTTCAGGATTTCCCAATTTTTAGCTCTAACTTTAGATGCAGCCTGATTTGGCTATCTATGTTGGCTATCTACGTTGACCTCTCAATACACCTGCTGGAAGATCTGCAGATAGCTAAGGGTAGAAACTGGTCTTTAAAAAACACTGTGCAACCCCCTATTAAAAAACAAAAACAAAACAAACAAAAAAAAACACTGATAAAGTCCTTGCCAGTTCCCTGGTCCCCTTTTCCCTTCTCTGCTTTTAAAACCCCTCTGCCTTTTGCACACATTCCTAGAAATGACAGCATACACAAAATCAAAGGAAAACACTGAATGAAACTTCTCTGATTAGGTTCTTTCTCTATAAAAGAAATAATTTAGTACTTACTGAATTTGAAGATGTCTTTTTTAAATACTCCAAAGGCTAAATGCAAATGTCCTAAAGACACTGAGCTTTCCACCCTTCTGGTTTACAATGTGCCAAATTTCTTTATTTCCTGATATTTAAAAAAAAAAAGCATATTCCCCAACCATCCCTACTGTAGGCAAAACTCCTACAGTGTTTCTCACGTGTTACAGACAGAAGAATAGGAAGTTTCTTCTGAGGCTTAGGAATTTGCATATGTTTGCCCAAAACCATGGCGAACATTACTGTGCCTTTAGGACACTATGGTCAGTAACAGCATCTCACCTCTCAGTACTGACTTGAGGTTCAACTTGGCTTGTCGGTGCAGGTCTTCCACACAGGGTGGTCTTGAGGAAGGCAGAAACACATTTTCCTGCTGGTGCCATGGAGCAGTGTAGTGGACTGTCCATCTACTCTCTTCATCTAGGTTGGAAACAGCTGCAGAAAGAGAGAAACAAGAGTCAGAAAATCAAATGCTCTTCCAGGTAGCTTTACCATGTAACCCCACCCATAAACACGCCTGTCGAGCATCATCTTCAGAGGCTGTTCGCCTCCTTTCTCTTATCAAAAAAAGCCTCTAGAACTTCACTTCCTCTCATCGCTAGCCTAAGTTTCATCTTCTGTGTTACACAGGAAACGTTTCCCTCTCCCCTTGTTTATATTGCTGAGATATTTACAGTGATCTTGCAGCTCTATTTCCTCCCATCTAGCTCCCAGACTCCTCAGATGAAACCGGTTTTCGACTCCCTTGATCAGGCCGGGTGCTGCATGCCCTGGGTGACTTCCTCCTTCTCAAGGGCAACCCAAGAACATGACAGTCACCATGAGACACTACTACCAGTTCATCTGTACCACAAAATAATCTTTTCTGATCTCGTAGCTGCCATAAACCAGAGAGATAAAGGCTCCACCAAACCCAATAAATGAGTCACTTCACATCATGATGAGTGCAAGGTCGATGCAGACACCAGTAATTCRCCAAGCGGAGCACAAGTGTGCCGAAGGACCGCGCCAGCACTTTCCCAGCCAATACACACGCGGAAAATAAAATACTGGAACGTCTCAASTTCAAGGTTCCCCACAGACAGTGTGACGAGGAAGCTGCCGGTGCACCTAATTCCCAGATCTGTTTATCACCCACGTTTCCTGGGAGACAGCCATTCCCTTTTGCTCAGAGCTTGCCATCAATAAAACTTTTATGGCTCGCTGCGGATAAGGGCGCTCAGCTCTGTGACAATAGGCAAAGGGCAGTTGGGGGGCACCTTTTATGATCGCCCAGGCCCTGCTGGGCCCCCAGCCAAGGCATCGCGTATCCCTGTTCTCCGGAGCAGGGGGAACTGGGCAGCCCCTGAGCACTGCCCGGCCGGAGGGGCCGCTCGCCCCGGGCCCTGCACACCCTGCCCTGCTCCCCTCAGCCTCAAAGCGCCTCTCTCCGTAACATTACAGCGGCATCCCTGCAGGGATCGCTTCAGGTGCAAACAGACGGCACTCGTTACAGAAAATACGCTGGGCCTTTTAACTTCACTGTTTATCTATTGCACGTGCTCAGAAGTTTTATGAACTTCTTTGGGGAGGCAAGGTCCTTAGTTTATTTATTTATTTATTTAAGGCTACTGTGTTTTCCAAGTACCTTGGTTGGTGGTTGCTCTTGCTCCTGCATTCCCACCCCACCTGTCCCCAGTCCTTGGCGCTGGCTGCGCCGCTGCGGAACAAGRCCCCCACCAGCCACTACAACACTCTTCTTTTTGCCTTTAAGTAGAGGTCAAAGCTAGATTACAGCAGACAGGTAAGTCACCTCCAACCCAGTTACAGCGACTATCACATCCGCTTTCACAGAAAGTGACGCTGGGCACCCTGTCCCAGACTAACAAATGCAGAGGGTCTGTCTGGGGCCCATGTCCCTGGGGGCACATGGGCAGACAGGGGGGTGGGGAGCGCAGGGAAGCACCAGCTTCTGCCTCACCGTCCAGTCTCAATCCTGCCCCACCAGATCCCAGAAGTTCACCCCTCTTCACAGCAGGAGTCAACGGCAATCCGCCCAAAGCAGCAAACCCATTTTACCCATATCCACCACCTGTCACGCAATTAACGTATGAAATGAAGTTTTGATGATTTAAAGGATGAATCATGAGGATCTTGGAAGTGTTTTTAGGAAGATGAGGGAGTCCCAGAACTGTCCCCCCCAACACACACAGCTTCCAACGAGCCTTGCGGACACGGCACAGCGCACTCTACCTTGCACTAAAGCTGCTGCTTTTGCACGGAAAAGTTTTGCTTCTACACAGCCTCAGAGACAGAGGGCTTCAAAATGCRAAGAAATAATAAGAGAGAGGAGGAGAGAGGGAGATAAAAACACCAAACCACCCCAAATCCAAGACAGCAACGCTCTATCCCAGCGCAGACACCCCAAATCACTTCACAGTGCTGCCTCGCCACATGACAAACTCAATTAAAATTCAACTGAAAGTGAAGTCCTACCTACCATCAGCCCTACCGAAGAGGAGGCTTCCAGAAAGCTGCACACACAAAAGGCTGCCCGAACCCGAACCCGTTTCCCGCGGGACTCGATTCCTTCCCCCGAGTCAGCAGGCGCCCACAACTACTTACTCTTTCTCTTGAAAAGTTTGAGGAGCGACTTAAGCTTTGTGTTGATGAAAACCACCATGTCCGAGGCGTTTAACTGCGGTCCGGGAATTTAAATGCCATAAAAAAAAGCAGTAGTTGAGAAAGGCGACTGGATTTCACTCTTCCTGCTCAGGCTCGGCACAATAAATGCCTTTTTTTTTCTCTCTCTCTCTCTCTTCTGTCCTTAAATCACTACTTAAAAGCCCCCCCTCCTGTTCCGATGCACGAAACCATCCACAATCCTCTGAGGTGAACTCCTCCCGTTCAGAAGCGGTCTGGTGGGCTGAAACCTGCCCGCTTCCCACATGCAAATAGCGAGGGACTGCATAAATAAATAAATAAATAGGTAGAAGGCGAGTTAATCGTTACTCGCGCCTGCCCAGGCTCCTTCCCCGCGCTGTAAGTGCGCGCTTCTTGCTGCGCTCTGCCGGGGCGGCCGCGGCACGAGCGGCGGCTCCGCACGCAGCTCGCTCCGCTCGGCGGCACGTGCGGCGGGCGCCTCCCGCAGCCC